AAAAGCTTCAAGTTGTGTTACTTTAGTCTAAGCATGGGTCTATTGTGTTTAAGCAATGGGCAAAAACTGTAAGCACCAGTGTGTGTGCACACTTGGTGGCTGTGTTTAACCAATTGGTTAATGTATGTGATTATTTGAAAGCCTTTGCTTTAAAATTGCAAGGAAATTACATCATGATACATTTTTGTGTCAAATGCATACAAGTGTGTTTAGTGTTTTGCAAATCACTGTGTGTAATGTTTTGCAAAAAGTGTGAAGCTGACAATGTGCTTACAGTTGTGCAAATCTAGGCCGGTGTTTTGCTCCTTGAGTGTAAGGTTTCGCTTATTGTGGGAAAGTTCTAATTTTAGTGTGTAAGCGATCGAAAAAAACTGTAAATGCTATAAAAATAAGTGGACAATTGGACCAACCACAGTTGATTCTCATTGTAGATGAAAATCTACACAGGTGTTACTCGTACCTTACTCTCCATTCCTCAACCCCATAGAGGAATTCTTTTCCTCATGGAGGTGGAAGGTTTCTGACCACCATCCACATGATCAAATGTCCCTCCTGGACGCAATGAATGCTGGATGCCAGGACATATCAGCAGAAGATTGCCAGGGATGGATCAGGCATGCCAGAAGATTCTTAGGTGTATTGCCCTAGATGACATAAGATGTGATGGGGATGAGAACCTGTGGCCAAATGGAGAAGACCGAGTAGATTACTGTAACATTACTATTGTATCTGTATCAGTGGATGGTGTGTATACAAACTCTTGTATTTTGGAATTACTAAGTGAAAAAAAATAAAAATAAAAGACATAAAATAGTATATTGAAGCATTCTGCATCATGTCTGATTCATTCCAGTAAACTCTATTGCAGTGAATTATAAACAAAGATTGTATAATGCTACATGTTGTTAGTGTTCTTTAGGTCATTGTTTTGTGGGTGACAAAGTGTGTTTGTTGGCTGTCAACCTTTGCTAGTGTTATGGAAGAATGTGTTGATTTGAGAAATGAATGAAGTGTTTTAGTAGTTTTAGTGCATTTTGAATGTGAAATTAACTGCTGTGCTGAGCTGAAAGCTGGTTAGGAGAACTGTGTGAAGAGTTTTGAAAAAGTGACCTAAGTATTGAGAAATGTGTCCTAGCGACTGTAAAAAACTGTAAATCTTAAATGCTATAAAAATAAGTGGACAATTGGACCAACCACAGCTGATTCTCATTGTAGATAAACATCTACACAGGCGTTACTCTTTCTATTTCATTACAAAAGGAGACAACTGCTGAAGAGTTTTGTATTGTGATGTAAACATGGACCCAGCCAGAAACAGAGAAGTGGCTGAAAGAGGAAGAAGAGGGGCTGGGAGGGGGCGAGGTATACGTATGCGTGGTGGAAGAAGAATAAGACGAAGACCAAGAGCTGTAGTCTCAGATGAGATCAGAGCTACTGTAATTGATCATGTAGTAAATCATGCATGGTCTCTCAATGAGAGAGGGTGGTCAGAGAGTGCAGCCAAATCTGCAACGCTCAACAGTGGCACCTATTGTTAGAGTTTTCTGGCAAACCAACATCCATATCTGTATCAGTGATGGTGTGTATACAAATTCTTGTATTTTGGAATTACTCAGTGCAAAAAAATAAAAATAAAAGACATAAAATATATTGAAGCATTCTGCATCATGTCTGATTCATTCCAGTAAACTCTATTGCAGTGAATTATAAACAAAGATTGTATAATGCTACATGTTGTTAGTGTTCTTTAGGTCATTGTTTTGTGGGTGACAAAGTGTGTTTGTTGGCTGTCAACCTTTGCTAGTGTTATGGAAGAATGTGTTGATTTGAGAAATGAATGAAGTGTTTTGGTAGTTTTAGTGCATTTTGAATGTGAAATTAACTCCTGTGCTGAGCTGAAAGCTGGTTAGGAGAACTGTGTGAAGAGTTTTGAAAAAGTGACCTAAGTATTGAGAAATGTGCGACTGTAAAAAACTGTAATTTTAAGATGCAAAATACATTTCATTAAAATATTACTGTAGAAATGTAGCAAATTGATGTCTTATTCAGTTTTGTATTATGTTATTGTTTTGAACATAAGTTTAACAGTTTTGAAAACAGTGTGTAAGCATATGTCACACCAGAATGTGAGGTTCCAATTTATACCAGCATTTAATTTCTCCACTGACAGGAAAAGGAAAACAACCACTTCTAAGATTTATATTAGTAACATATTTATTAGTAACAATTTGTTCACAACGATAAAATTAGCAACAGGAGCAATATATAAAAATCAGGCAAACATAAAATTACAAATGCATTGACAGGAAGGTTCGACAGTCTTCAGTCAAAACTCAAATCATATTCAAGGTCCATTGTCCTTATATGGAAATCTGGTAGACAAACGGGCACGGAAGGGAATGTCGGTTCAGATGATGCGGTCTCATTAGTTCGTCCTTTCACGCAGCTCTGTGATCCAGTATAAACAGCAACGGTACTGGAGAGGAGTAAAAGCAACCCTTAGTATCACACAAACTAGTTCAGCTCTCACACACGCACATAAGTTAGTAGGCAGAACAACTTTCCTTTCCTTAGCTCAAATCAGGCGTTGAATCCACTGCATGAACATCCACGTCACTCTTCCTTTCCGCTTGACTTATCTCCTTTGCTGGGTTGTAATCTGATCCGCGCCCACTGCTCGTCCGGCTGCAACTTTCTGTCCTCAAACGCCACAATCAGTGTCCCTGCCCGTAAAGGTTCGGTGCGCGTGCATTCCTTCGCACACTTCCACCCCCGCACTCGCTTGTCCCTTCCTTTTAAACCACCTGCCGCACCTTTCCTCAATCACCAACCCATTAGTTCGTGCAGCGCCGCCGATTCCACCAATGTCAGAGGGAGAGGGTGGGGTCTGTCAATCATCACTGCGAGTATTAATGCCCACCATAAAAAAAGACCAGTGAAACAGCAAAACAACAATCAGTGATCAAAAATACACAAAGCACAATCAAAATAATAAATTAAGTGGGTGAAAACAAATAGCACACAGGGGATCAATACAGACAGGCAGATGTTCCACATTTGACATTTCCCCCCTTCTTTAATGGAGGTCGTCCCGACCCCCTACTCACTGCGGTACCGGGCTGGGAGCATTCCCAAATTGGGCCGTTCGGAACGACGTACAATAGGTGAGCTAATCTCGCCATGCTGGGCTTCGGGTTCTACTGGAGGGTCAGGTGGTTGGGCCAAAGATGGATCTTGCTCTTCCATAGGTAGCTGATGATTAGATGTCAACATCAGGCCAGGAAGCCACCAGGTTGGAGGGGGCATTGGTTCCATCGGGTGGCATGTTGAAGATTGTGATTCCTCTGGTTCCTGGCTCCTGTGCTGCAACATATCCAAGGGGCAGGGTTGGAGGTTATTCCTATGTACTGTACGGGTGGGTGCTTCCTTACCCTCTGGTCGAAGCACATAGACCGGATGGTCCTCTCGGAGCTGCTTAACCACCACATACGGTTCTGGTATCCACCTCAGATTCAGCTTCCCTCTTGTTCTACTGCGGAAGTTGCAGACAAGCACTCGTTCTCCTGGGAGCAAGGAGGCCGGCTTAACCCAGGTGAAAAAGACGTTGTATTAAATGTATTAAAAATATATTTGAAATACAAATAGTGTGTTTATAATACATTTGTATTTACAACATGCTTATTTAAAGTGTACTAAAAATGTATTTTATTGCATTTTAGTATATTTCTAAAAAGTATACTAGAAGTACATTGGTAATAAATATATATTTAATTACACTTTTAAGAAATATACTATAGAAAAGCATACTTTTAATGTATTTATAAAAAGTATATTAGTAATATATTGGTAATAAATGTATGCTTTATTATATTTTTAATAAATATGCTAATGATAATTATACTTTAAATGTATTTCTAAAAAGTATATTAGAAGTACATTGGTAATAAATATATGTTTAAATACACTTTTAAGAAATACACTATAGAAAAGCATACTTTTAATGTATTTCTAAAAAAGTATATTATTAGTACATTGGTAATAAATGTGTGCTTAATTATATTTTTAATAAATATGCTAATGACAATCATGCTTTAAATACGTTTCTAAAAAGTGTACTAGAAGTACATTGGTATTTAATTACATTTTTAAGAAATATGCTAAATACAAACATATTTTAATTATATTTAAAAATGTTTTACTAGAAACGCAATGATAATAAATATACACTTAATTACACTTTTAGAAATATGCTAAAAACAAACATAGTTTTAGTGAAGTTTTAGTGTATTTACAGAAAGCATACTTGTTGCTAAATTAAAGTATTTTTGTGTTCACTTCAAGTTTAAAAATTCAAGTCCCTTTAATTCCCTTCCTAACATGAAGGCAATTAAACATGTATCGAAATTAATTGTATATTTCTACAAAGACTAGAAGTAGCACTTTGATTATAAATATGTGCTCAGTTAAGCTTTTAAGAAATATACCAAAAACTACCACACTTTTTGTAATACTACCAACACTTAACTCAATGCATATGTATTTCACACTTTATATTATGTGTTTTAGGTTTAACTTTTTTAAATTAATTTGTTATAATTATGAAAAGCACTAAAATTTGACTAACAAGTAATGCACTTCTATACTTCTGCATTAATTAATGAAATAGTCTTTTCCACAAAACAAGTGAATACCAGTACTTGCACACATCAACATAAAAGATCAGGTGTACATACTAGAAAAACAAAATAAATTTCTTAAAGCTTGACTCTTACATTTGTTTAGCCAAAATGAATAAAAAAACTTGTTATAAAGCATGTTAGGTTTATATTAACAGAGTTGTTTCTTTTTTGTGGATGTTAGTTAATATTTCCAGTTGCATTCATTTGGACCAATCAGAGCCAATCTTTTCAAAACAAGCTTGCCGGCAATTGTCCAATCACACACTGGCATTTGAACTTACATTGTTGGGCGGGGCGCGGACAGCGGATACTGACTGTCTGTCACTGTGGTGTGGTATTAGCTTCGGATATTTCAACAGAAATCATGTATTTTCCAAATTTTGCTTTGTTATTTCACTGACTCGGACCTAGTGAATGTGGATAGCACCGATCTAATATTAAGAGAAAACACGAGCAGATTACCAGGTCGTCAGCTCCCGCGAACAATTTAGCAGTGAAGAGGACAACGCAGAGGTGCGCAGCCACGACATGGACAGAGCAAGATACTACTGCCAGAAAAGATCTTACTTCTTGGTGGTAAGTTTATTAGTTTAAGTGATTAGTGTAATTGGCTTTATTCTCACTTTGGGTTTAGAAAATATTTTCAGAAGTTGATGACGATGTTCTGTGGATTACTGGCGTTTCTGTTGATTTGACACTAAAGCGAGTTAATCCATTGACGTCTATCAACTTAATTGTTATAGATCTAGACAGTGACATAAAACAACTATAAAAACATTGCACACTGTGTTTTCAGAAAAAAGGTTATTAATGGTGATTACACGACAGGCTTGATTGTCCCTAAGTAACTTCTTGTGTTTTAAATATTATAATATATTTTAAGCTCTAATAAAACTTTCACATTTGTGATATTTAATTCATAGTAAAATCTAATTAATTATTAGTAGGCTGTCAGTTTTCATGTCAATTCGATAAATAAATTAAGTTGTAATCACCAACTATAAGCTTTCATAAAACCAATTATTCAATATCTTGCACTGAGAAATTAAAACGATGTTAAATAATGAAATGAGAGTTTTTATATTTAATATTTAGCCTAACCAAGGAATTTGCACATTGCAAAGACATTTTTTTATATTAAACCTGTGAGTAGATGAGGTCAAGTCGAGTAAGTAGTAGTTGATCCTCTTGATTTGTAACTTTTTGTTGGTGAATAACAACAAAAACAGTCAATAGTGTGTCATGTAGCAGCTAAGTAGCTAAGTGACCTATTATATATTAACACGTATTTGAAAAAGTCCCCCGGCCCCCGCATGAATATGTATTTTGCCTGATTATGCATTGAATTATGCAATCGCATAATCGTGTTTTTCTCGAGGGCCTGATTTATATGATTTTATGTGTGGTATTCAGCTTTTTTACATTTAATCAAATCATTATCAGCTGTCACCAACTTGTAACTTTCAATAGAATGTTCTGTCTTTATTAATAATGAATAATTACTTTAATAATAGGGTGGAAGTTACAGTAATGGTTCATTAAATATGTTTTACCATTTAAACAAAATACAAATTATATATGAAGAACTAGGGATGTCCCGATCCGATCCACGGCATCGGTATCGCGCCGATACCGGCCCAGAACGCTAGATCGGAGATCGGAGGGGAGAAACAAATATGAGCGATATCCAGTTTAGCGGCGCAGCCTGTCACGTGATGATTGTTGTGTTTACGCACACGCGCGCACTCTCGCTTTGCGCACGGATTCTAATGTAATCGGATGATTCCACCCACAAAAGCTGCATTTCAGTCTTTTCAGAAATTCATTGGCTATCAGAAAATAGCGTCATTTCATTCTCTATTGCAACTGGATAGATAAACTGTCACTCAAAGAGAGGTAGGTACCGATCTTCACCAGGCACGCTCGTTGGCTGTTGGAGTTTAGAAGACACCCCTAACACTCGCCGATTGGCTAAAATGACCTGTCAATCAATAGTTCATGGGTCAGCGGCCATTTTGACATTCTTTTTTCTCCAATGTTTACGTTTCAACTGAAGTTAGACGGATCATAGTGTTGTGCTACGTTCACACCGGACGCGAATCGCGCGTCAAATTCGCGCCTGACGCGTCTAGACGCTTGACCACTAGTGTATTCGCGTGTCAAGAGCGAAACTGGCACGCGTAAAGTTTGAAGCGAAATTTACGCGCGTGACGCGCGTCAGAATCAAAATCCGTTGGCGGTCATTGTTTTTATGTCGACCGAGCATTCATCAAGAGAGTTACCGCTCTGTATTTACTCTGGATAGCAGAACAGCGGCGTGGGGATCATCGTCGCCGTATATTTGTGTCCACCGGACCCTTCGGAGCCGAACCGTTTGGCGAGTTTCACCATTTGCTCGCTCCAGGAGCTGCGCTGGATGACGGCCGCTGTCAGCGGTACTTTCGCCTGTCACGCGCCCAGTTTGATGACCTGTTGTCCCGCATCTGAGCGAGGATCACCCTCGCCCGGCCCCTCATCCATCTAATCTAGCTGTCATTTATTTTTGTTTTGATAATAAATAGAGCCAGCCTTCAAAAGTTATTAACCTGTCCTGTGATTTTTTTTCTCTCTCTCACGTCCAGACACGAATTTATGCACATATGTTGATTGTCTTTACAACATAATACTATTTCTAGATATGGAATGAATAACATTTAATACAAAATGAACATGTCTCCATATAGAAATAATGTTTTAAGTGATGAAACATTTGCTTTGTTGTGCATAATCCCACCATGCATTTAGTCATATTAACAAAATAATTTATTGAAGCATCCAGACACTTCACCACGTGAGCAAGCAGCTAGGCTCCTGATTGGTTAACGCGGCGCGAATTCACGCCAAAGTTCAGATTTTTCAACTCGGGCGGCAGACGCGAATTCGCGTCAAACGCGTGAATGCACAACGCTCAAACGCGTCAAAAGACGCGTATTCGCGTCTTCCGCGCCGCGCTCCACGCCTCATTCGCGCCGCAGGAATTTTTCTTGCATTGACTTAACATTGAAATCATTCGCGCCTGACGCCCTATTCGCGTCCGGTGTGAACGTAGCATTAGTGCGTCGAAGTTGTGATAGCGCTGTCGGCTAACGCAAAATGCTACTATTTACAGTCCATGGATGTTTATTCATATATACAATTGTTTTGGACTAAAAACTTCTTCAAATTGGATTGTATGGACGCTTTACAGTGAAACCAAACCATTTTTGTTGGAATGTGGACTAACAGATGGCTAATTGGTGAGTTTCTTCCAGTTTGTGTTGGTTTGTTTTGGCTGTTGGTGGTCTGACAAAGAGACAGATTGTGCCCGCTGTGTTGATTGTATCTTAAAATGGTTTACGTCGTTCGAATCACGAGTTTCTCAGCTTTCCAAAGATATGTATTATGTTTACTTTTGTGTTTGTTTTGTTTTGTCTTTCACAAAGTTAAACCTATAAACCACCCTGTGGGCCGTATACGGCACGTCGGACCACGAAAAAAAAATATCGGACTAATATCGGTATCGGCAAAAGCCAAAGGTGCGGCATCGGTATCGGTATCGGAAGTGAAAAAGTGGTATCGGGACATCCCTATGAAGAACACAAACTAGTGTTTGTTCTGCCCTAACTTTGTATAACATGCAACTTGATTTTTTTTTTTGTAGAGCTTCCAGGGATACTATCATCTCTCAAAGAGGCCCTGGAGTCCATGAAACGAGGTTCATTCAGCTCAAGCCCAAGATCATCTGAGCTGTGTCTTCCTGAAACCTCAGACATGGTAAGAAAATTCTTTATGATAAAGAAAAATCCTATTTGTTATAATAATTATATCTGACTTTTTGTGCATTAATACTTCAGTAAGTGTTCTGAATTAAGTAACAAAGTGACAGCTTTTTATTAGAATTATAAATGAACAAGTTTATACTAATGCTTGTTTTTTTTATTCTTTCCAGATTTCCCTCGGTGGTTCTGATGTCCCCAAAAGAGTCTATGGCAGACTGAACAAGTCACGAACTTCTCTTTTTACTCACGACTTGGCCACTTTACTTTTTGCTATTGTATTTCACTTTGTTTGACTTAAAGGATTAGTTCACTTAAAAAAAACAAACTTTTGCTGATAACTTACCCACCCCCATGCCAAGATATCCATGTCATTCTTTCTTCAGTTGAAAAGAAATTAAGGTTTTTGATGAAAACATTTCAGGATTTTCTCCATATGGACTTCATTGGGAACCAAACGGTTCAAGGTCCAAAAGGCAGTTTCTGTGCAAACTGTTCAAAGGGCTTTAAATGATTCCAGACGATGAATAAGGGTCTTATCAAGCGAAACGATCGGTCATTTTAAAAAAAACAAAACAACGTTTAAGTTTTATAAGCTCAAATGGTCGCCATGCTCTGTTCTGTTATGCATGTTCATAACTCTCTTATTCAAACTCGTTCATCAAAATTAACAAATCTTTTTCTGAGTCATTAGGTTCATTCAACGAACGAAATGAATGAATTGACTTGAAAAAAGATTTGTCAGGACTGCCAACTCTCAAGCATTCAGCACGAGACTCTCGCAATTGAGCAATTCTCATGCTTTCACGACAAATTGACTGTTAGCCATTGGACCCTGAACCGTTTTGTTCCCAGTGAAGTCCATTATATGGAGAAAAATCCTGGAATGTTTTCATCAAACCTTAATTCCTTTTCGACTGAAGAAAGAAAGACATGGACATCTTGGAAGACATGGGGGTGAGTAAATTATCAGCAAAAGTTTTTTTTTAAAAGTGAACTACTCCTTTCAGTTAGTTTATTTATTTTTGTTCTGTTTAATACCTCTGCAAATCAATGCATTTTATGTTAATGTATTTTGTTTAGTTTTCATAATGCTTTACTGATGTAGTGCATTAAAGTTTATCTTTCAAAGAGTGTTTGTGTGTTTTGTAGAAATATTTTTTTACTGGGTTTTGTTGAATTAAAATGTTTAACTGTATTTTTAATACATTAAAATATATTATTTTTATATTAAATGGTTTTTGGAAAAAATATATTTTTAATATGTTAATAGTGGGTCCTATAGTGTTCTACAAATACATTATTAATAAGCTGAAATTATATTTAAAATATACTTAGAACGCATTAATGTGAAGCTAAAATATACTAATGCTGTATTTCTAAAGTCGATTTAAAGTGTATTAAAATACACTTTAAATAAGTGCTATTATATTACATTAAATGTACTTAAAATGGTTCCATTTTAGCACAATTTAATATAATAAAATATATTACTATTACCTTAAAATTGAACTTAAATACATATTAAAGTACACTTAATATACTTGAAGTTGTTTCAATTTAGCACATTTAATACATATTTAATACGGCGCACTTAAAATACATTAAGTATATCAAAATAAGTACAATTTAAATACATTTCCTTTTCACCTGGGAACTCTTCTGTTGTATCTGGCCCGGTCCCGGTCCTGTCTTTGCCGAGTATACATGGTTACCGTCTGATAGGCATGGTTCAAAGCTTCCTGGTGCCTCCTCACCCATCCTGTCAGGGTATGGGGCTCGGTTTCCGGTTTCAGACCAGTTGCCCAATCGACAGGCAACCTAGCGTGCCTCCCAAACACCACATAGTGAGGAGTCATCCCAGTAGTGCTGTGAATGGTGTTATTATAGGCCTGGACTAGAGCGGGGAGCCGGGTTGGCCACTGTGCTTGGCTGGTCTCATCCAGGGAGTTTAACAACCCCAACAGGGTCTGATTGAACCTTTCACATGCTCCATTCCCTTGGGGATGATAGGTTGTGGTGCGGCTCTTCCGGCAGCCATACAGTTGGCAAAGTTCCTTCATCAGTAATGACTCAAATGATGCCCTCCGGTCCGTCAAGATCCGTTCGGGACAGCCAAAGGTCTGGATTAGGTTATTGTACAAGGCCTGAGCTGTTGTATTTGCAGACTGGTCTCTCGTGGGCACTGCAAGAGCATACTTTGAGAACAGGTCAGTTACAACTAGGATGTAGGGGTATCGGTCCTCTGGCCTCCCCAGGGAAAGATAGTCTACCCCAACTACCTCAAATGGGTAACTAGTTAGAATGGACACAAGAGGAACCCTTACCTCTGGCCCAGCCTTGGCACAGACACATTGAGGGCAGGTGGTCGTCCACTCCTTTACATCCTCGGTCATCCTTGGCCAATAGCAACGCTGTCGCAAGATAGTAAGAGTCCTTTCACTGCTTGGGTGTCCCATCTCTCCGTGGTAGATCTCCCACACTTTCCTAGCTTCTTTTTCGGGGACTACCACTTGGAAAGTCTCCTCTCTGGACCCTACTTGTTGGTATAGTCGTCCCAGAATGCCGTCTCGCAACACGATCCGATCCCATTCTCGTCTCAGTTGTTTTGCACGTGAGGACAGAGGGCTACTAACCTCCAGGGGTGGGAGTCCTTGTTCCATCCTCTGCCTTATCTCTACCAACTCTGGGTCCTTGGCCTGCAGGTCTGCCCAAGACTGTCCTCCTTCTACTGTTACCTTCCTGGCAAGGAATGGCATTGGATCCTGCGGTTGTGGTAACCTGGAGAGAGCATCGGCATTTTTATTTTGGGGACCAGGTCTATATTTGATGACGTACTTGAAGTTTGCCAGCTGAGCCACCCACCGCTGTTCCACAGCACCAAGACGGGCAGTATCGAGATGAACCAATGGATTATTATCTGTAAACACAGTAAATTCAGTCCCATACAGATAATCTTTAAATTTCTCAGTTATAGCCCATTTCAGGGCCAACAGTTCTAGCTTAAAGGAGCTATAATTCTGATCATTCCTTTCTGTTGGCTGGAGACTACGGCTAGCATAAGCAATCACCCTCTCTTTTCCTTCTTGTACTTGAGCTAATACTGCCCCCAGACCATCCAAGCTGGCATCAGTATACAACCTAAATGTTGGGAAAAGTCTGCATAAGCCAGTATGGGTGTGGTGAGCAAGGCTTCCTTAAGTAAATCAAAGGACTGCTGGCATTCAGGGGTCCATTTAATTGTGGCATTCTTACCATGTACAGCAGTGCCCCGTGTCAGAGCATTCAATGGAGTGGCTATTGTGGAGAAAGCAGGTATAAACCGTCGATAATACCCTGCAAAACCAAGGAAGGATTTCACTTGCTTCACAGTCTGAGGAATAGGCCAGTCTCTTACCGCAGCGGTCTTTACTGGATCGGTTGCCACCCCATGCTCACTGATAACATGCCCCAGATATGTCACTTTGCGCTGGAACAAGTGGCATTTTGCAGGTTGGAGTTTCAGCCCGTGGTTGTGGAGGCACTGAAATACCTCTTCAAGGTGACGCAGGTGACTATTAAAATCAGGAGAAAACACCACTACATCATCCAGGTATATCAGTAATGAATCATTCACTAGGTTCCCAAAGCAACGTTGCATTAGTCTTTGAAATGTAGCAGGGGCATTACATAATCCAAAGTGCATCCTATTGAATTCATACAGCCCAAGCGGAGTGGTGAATGCGGTCTTCTCTCTATCCATTGGGTGCATTTCCACTTGCCAATATCCACTTGCAAGATCTAACGTAGAATACCATTTGGCAGATTTAAGTCCAGTCAAAGCCTCCTCGATACGGGGCAGCGGGTAGGCGTCCTTATGGGTAAGAGCATTAAGTTTCCTGTAATCCACACAGAATCTCCAGTTTCCATCTTTTTTTTTTACAAGCACTATTGGGGCTGCCCAAGGACTTGCACTCTCCCTTACCACACCGCTTGTCAACATATTCTGTAACAGAGATCTCAATTCTGCGTACAAACTTGGGGGGATGGGACGGTACCGCTCACGACTAGGAGGCACTGAGCCTGTGGGTATTTGATGTTTCACCACACCAGTACAGCCGAAATCTTCATCATGGCTGGCGAATGCTTTTGACCACTTGTGCAACAGGTTAGTCATATCCCTCTGTTGGTCTGGAGTCAGACCGTCCCCCTGTAGGACCATTGCTGGATGCGATTCGCTTGCATCCATATCCTCCACCGTCCCAATGTGCCTCACCTCTACCTCCACCACATCCGCTGCCACACTGTTGAGGACAAGCTCTTGTTTCCCTTGAATATCAGTCATAGCCACTTCAGTCACTTGAGCCAATGGCTGTCGCTGGGGGACCTCCACAGGGTACGGGTGAGGGTTGCACAGCCGCAATGGGACTCTTCCATCTTGCAGCACTGCCAGTGTGCGGCCCACACACCACTCTGGGTCATTATCAGGGAGGGGTTCTATGATCACATTACATGCCTGTTTGGGGGCACCATCAGATACCTGTGTCCAGACCAACATCTCTGTCTGAGGTGGAATAACTACTGGTTGCTGGCGTAGTAATTTGGCCATGCCTTGGTAGGGGGGGGTGACCCTCTAATAGAGATGCGATGACACTCTGTAAAGGCTCGAACCCAAGCCTGGCCTTGACCCAATGGTATGGTCGTTTTAAAAGCAGCCAATCCTGGGTGGTTCCCTTGAGTGAGAGCAGACCAGACAGAATTAATAATATTCATACCAAGTATGCCCTTATCTGCCCCCAAGCATTCATCTTCCACAATTATTACCCCCTTTGCAGGTACATGGATGCTTCCTACCCTGCAATCGACCAGAGCATAGCCAACATATGGTATCTTCAAACCATTGGCTGCACGTAGAGTCAACCAGGGGGTCTCCCCAATGTTGGTCAAACAGGTACTTCCTAGGTATTTTTTAAATAAACTTTGGCTCAGAAGGGTAACCTGTGACCCCGTATCCAGTACAAATGGCACAGCAATTTCATTCATTTTTATCACAACATCAGGACGCTCACCAATCAAAGCAGATTTCTTTTGTGACGTGGGCCCTTCATCCTGGCCAACAGCCCCCACTACTTGGACCTCAGCTGTAGGGGGAATCAAAAATCCCGCTGTCTAGATGGTCTATGCGGGCACCTGCGCTGCACATGTCCAGCTTCTCCACACCCAAAGCAAATGGGCCGGCCCTCTGCATCCCATTGATAAGCAGTCATGGGCACTTGTCGTTGTCTCACCTGAGGCCCCCGTGTTGGGGCTGGCAGAGCTCCTCTCATTGCTAGTTGTGCGCGGACCTCTTCCATTAAGCTGGTCGAAAGGGC